TCTTTTCTTGATCGTGGCTTTGTTTTTCTGCTTTCCTTTATTCTTTTCTCTCGCCTCTTCTAAGACTTTATCGTTTATTCATATGTATACAAAGACACATGCCTCTTTTTGTGCACGTGGCGTATACTATTCTATAGAAAGTGAAAGAAGTAAAGTTAAATCGAATCTTAATACTCTTCATTTTTGTTTTCAATGGACAAAGAAAATTTTCGTTTCTACATTAAAATACGTACTGCACGTAATATTGAAGCAAGAACTATTCATGGCGAGCGAAGTACTGTTTTTGGTGATGAAGCTCCTTCTTATTGAATAGTTGCAAGATGGGCTCAGTGATTTCGTGAAGGTCGAGAAGAAATTGAAGATGAAGAACGATCTTGAAGACCTGTAACTGAAAGTGCTCTTGAAGACATTGAAGAAATTCGTAGTATTGTTAGTAATGATCCTTATGTTACAATAGCAGAGTTACAAGAGCATACTGGTCTAAGTTGTAGCACCGTTCATAGAATATTATCTGATCATCTGAAACTTAGAAAAATGACTACTCATTTATACATACCGAAACAGCCAACGGATTATCAACGGAGTGAACGAGTTCGAATATGCAAAGAAAATCTGTCAACATTTGAAGAAGAAAGATGGCGTTTATGTGACATGGTAACAGGTGATGAATCATGGTTTTTCCATCAGCAAACTGGTCGAAAAGCTTCCAATGCGGCTTGGGTGGCAAAAGAAGATCCTCCATCCACAAAAGTGCGACGAAATAAGTTTGCTCCGCAAACTTTATTTTGCATTTTCATTAAATCAACTGGTCCTCTTCTAACCCATCGTGTCGAACGTGGACAAACCATCGATCACCAATATTACATCAAAAACTGTTTGCAACCGGTTATCCAAGAAATCAAGAAACAAAGACCTCTCTCAGGTACTTATGCCATCAAACTTCATCATGATAACGGAGGAGCACATGTTCATAAAGATGTCCTCGATTATCTTGGTTCAGAGGAGTTACTATAGTACCAGAACCATCCAATTCTCCAGATCTGTCTACCTGTGAATTTTGGTTATTCGACTTAATCAAACGAAATCTAACTGATCAAACTAATTCCGAATCGTTACATCACGCTATAATCAAGTTCATGTAGTCTTTGGATAAAGAAGAGTAAAGAAAAACGTTTGATAAATGGATTCAAAGAATGCAATTGTGTGTAGATAATCAAAGCAATTACTTTGAACATTTCATGAAATAAAAGCTTCTTGAACTTGTTTATGTATTTTCAATTTTTGGGTATGCTAATATGAGTAAACGATAAAGTCTCAGAAGTGGCGAGAAAAAAGAATAAAGGAAAGCAGAAAAACAAAGCCACGATCAAGAAAAGA